AATTAAAAATTAATTTTAGTATGATATATTTATATATAGTTTATATAATTAAAATAATTTATTCACTTGCTAATAAATTATACGTCGTAATTCATAATGGCGGCAATCGATGACTACTGCGTGATTAATGTGAAAAACAACATCGAATGACAAAAAATTAGGAAAAAGTAAAAGTACTAATAATTTTTTAATAATGATAATATTAAGTTTTATTTTAAATAATAATTTCTATTTTTCTAAATAATAATAAGTGTTATTTTTCTTAAAAAAGAGAGTAATAAAACTAATCATTAATTTTTAATAATAATAATAATATATTAAAACAATAGAATAAAAATAAAATAATAGAAAGTAAATAATAATTAATACAAAGTAATAATAATAAGTACTATAATTTTCATAAAAAAAGTATAGTAGTAAAATTACTAAATAATTTATTTTAATAAATAATACTATTAATAGTAAGTGTTTTTTTATAATAAGTGCTATTTTTATAAATAACAATTATTGTTATTTTTCTTAAAAAAGAGTAATACGGAGTAATTAATAATAAGTGCTATTTTATTATTTTTCTTAATAAATAAAAATAATATGGAGTAAATAATAATAATAATAATAGAATAAGAAGAAAATGATAATAAATATGAAGTATAAATAATAAGTCCTACTCCACTATTTTTCTTTAAAATTAGAGTGGAAAAAATACTAGTTAATTTTAATATTTAATAATAATAATAGTTATAGAATAAGAAGAAAAAAGAATTCAAAACAAAAAAATAAAAGAGTAAATTCCATAAAAGGTCCCTGGTTATAGGTCGTTTTACATATTTAGTCCCCACATATCAAATATTACTAATTTAGTCTCCAATTATTATATCCATTTCCACGAATGGTCCTTTGTTAACATTTCCGTTAAGAACGTGGATAAAATTATAAATTTACACTCCTCTCTCTCCTCTTGTACTCTTTTCCAAAATCTTTGGTGAGTTTGAAGCTCTTAATCCAAAACTGAAATGATCATTCCTTTCTCAATTATTAGTCATCCTGGTGGAACCTAAAATCAAAACCAATAAGCTTTATGGATGAGTTTTATCGATTAGTCTCAAGATATTGCAAAGAAAATAAACATTAAAACACTGGTTCCGAATTTGGGTTCCACCAGTACGACAAACAATTGAGAGAAGAGTGATGATTTCGGTTTTGGGTTTAAAGCTTTAGTGACGAATTTGGGAAAGGAGTGGGAGGGGAGGGAAAAGTTTAATTGAGGAGAGAAAGGAGTGTGAATTTACAATTTTATCCACGTTCTTAACGGAAATGTTAACAAAGAAAAATTCGTGGAAATGAATATAATAATTGAGGACTAAATCAGTAATATTTGGTATGTAGGGACTAAATATGTAAAACGACCTATAACTGGGGACCTTTTATGGAATTAATTCAAAATAGAACAATAAAAAAGGGGAGGGTGGGGGGTTGGATGAGATCTGAAGGCAGAGGAGGGGGAAGAGGAGGAGGAGGAGAAAAAGGGGAAGAAGAAGAACAAACAAGAAGACGATCGAAAATTGGGAAGAAGAAAGAGAAGTTAACGAAGACTGGAGATTAGTAGAGAAAGACACTGAATGTCACCGGGATGACTTGTTTGATATTTTAAGGTACCTCAAAGTATATTTTTAAAAACAATGGGACCTACTTATCACAAAATTAGGAGTACCCAGCAGTAATTTTTAGTTTTTGTAATGAGAGGTACCTCTCTAGTATCATGGAAGACCAAGAGTTATGGCAAATGTTTGTGTGAAAATCCAATGTATGTATGCACGGTATTCTAAGTGCTCCAGGAGTGCTGATTCTTTATTTTGCACGATTGTACTATGACATATAGTCAGCTTTATATATTGTAGCTTATCAAGTGTTTCAAGAAGATATGAAGAATATTGATGTGGATTGTCATATGGTCTGTGAATCCGTTTAGCGACATGAGGTGTCCATGAATTATGTTCCAGCCTGTTATCAGCTTGCACATATTTTTACCAAAGCGTTGTCAAAACCTATTTTTGAATTTTTATTGTGTAAGTTTGACATTCGTGATATTCATACGTCAATTTGAGAGGGAGTGTTAGCGGATTCTTGTGTATAGACCACAGTTTAGCTTATTGGGGCTAACGATTTAGCCCACTTATGTATTTGCGTATATATTTGTTTGTGATTAATGAAACGCAAAACAATTTACTTTACTTCTTCATTCAAAATACCAAGAAATGCAAACTAGAAATTGTATTTCTCTTTGATGATGCTGAGTTTATTATATATATATATATATATATATATATATATATATATATATATATATATATATATATATATATATATATATATATATGCATTTTATTAATCAAACTTCTTGATTAAAAAGGGGGTACATCAACTTTCTTATAAGTTGATCTTGCAAGTCCTACGGTTCGGATCTTGCAGTTGTTGAAGAAGCGTGACCTTCGAAGGAACGACAAAGCCAGCACGAGTGCAGTAGCAACATTGGTCTTGCGAAGATATACCGTGCTGAAATTCACACAAGTGCAATTGTTGGTTCATTATTCAACAACCAACTACATAGTGGATTTTGAGGACGTAGAAGGATTACCCCACCTTCGAACCTCGTTAAAGTTTACGTGTCTCTCTCTCTCTTATCTTTACTCATACTTGCAATTATATTAACTGTGAAATTAACCCATCCATATTGATTACTGTTCTAATAACCCACCAACTTCCGCACACAATCTAAGGTTCACAAGAACTCTAGAATAAACACTCATTTTCACGTTTTCAAAAGAAACGAAAAAGTTTTTAAGTTGAAACAAAGTCTATTCACCCCCCCTCTAGACGTTGTATCTCACCACTTTGGGACCACCAATTGGTATCAGAGCACACTTCTCACTATCTACATTTAAATTAACGAGAAGCGATCATAATGGTGAACAATATGGATCACGGTTTGCTCAAGTTTTCTCTTTAGGTTATGATGATTGGAAGATCATGATAGAAGCACACCTTTACGCTCTACATGATTGCATGTGGATGGTGCTTGAGGACGGACCCCTGAAAATTCAAATGGAGAATCCCGAGAGGAATCCAACCAATCCTGATGTTGTCCAGTACATTCCAAATCCCAAGGAGAAATGGGATGATAGAGATTGCAAGAAGCACAATCTGGACAACGTCACCAAAGTAGCCATCTTCAAGACACTTGATCCCATCACCTTCTCCAAGATCAAGCATCTCAAGACTGCCATGGAGATTTGCCAAGGTCTTGGGAAGCTGTGTCAGGGATCGGAGGACCTGAGAAAGCAGAAGATAGAGGTCCTACTTGAGAAGTTCAAAAGCTTCAAAATGCTTCCCAGGGAATCATTCGATATGTTGGATGAAAGATTCCACAAAATCTTAAATGATCTTGCATCACTTAACCACGTTCTTTCTCCCAAAGAAAAGAATGTAAGGTTACTGAGATCTCTTCCAACTGAGTGGTACACCAAAGCCACAGCCATGGAAGAAGGAAGAAACCTGGAGAACTACACTGTCCAAGGTCTCCTTGATGAGCTCAGAACCTATGAGCATGAGCTGATGAAGAAGAAGGAAGAACAAGTCACTCCCTTCCCCACGGCATTGATGACAACTCCTAGAGTCCCACCAAGTGAAGGGACATGCCCAAGGAACTGTGACATACCTTCCTCCAGCTAGCCGCCAAGCTCAAAAATGGAGAACTATGATGAGGAATTTGCTATGATGGTCAAACAATTCCGGAAGTTTAAAAAGTTCTTCAAGAAAGCTGACTCAGTCAAAAAGTTCTTCAAGAAATAAAATATAAAAAATAGTCTTTTTCTTTAACTCCATATTTTATTTCATCTTTCTGTTCTTTATTTTTTAAAGTTCTTAAAAAATTATTTTACTTTAAAAAATAAATAAGTTATAATTTTTAATTAGAGATACAGTGAGTATATGTTATCTAATTTTTTATTTTATTTATTTTACTTTTACTTATAATGAAAAAGTGTATTTTATTTCATTTTTGTAACTTTTTCTAAAAAATTATTTTTTTGAAAATTAAATAAATGAAAAATTTTAATTTTAGAAAAAGGACATACTCCCTCCGTCCCACTGTCTTTGTCCACCCACTTACCTTTTGGCACGCCATCCAATGCACTTCTTTAATCCATTTTATCTTGTAATTTGTATATTAAAAAAATATAGAAATTATATATTAATAATCTATATGTTAAGACAAATCAAACAAGATCACACATGACTATATTTAGGCTTACACATTGAGAGAATTTGATGATTCAAAGTGCTTAGATGAATATTTCCAAAAGTCAAAAGTGGACAAAGACAGTGGGACGGAGGTAGTATATTTTATTTTATTTATTTGTATAACAAAAAATGTAAAGAAAAGTGAAATTTGAAGATAGAGAAAAACCAAGGGCAAAAATGTCATTTCATGTCTAAAATAGCAAGAGAGGGCATCTGTGCACTATTTAAAAACCACATGGGTTTTACAAATAACTTTTGAAAGTAAATGAGGTTTTAACGCTCTTTTTATAAACCATGGGGGGCACCCATGCCATTCCCCTGAATAAAATAATAATAAAGTTCACGAGCTTATTATTTATGATTTAAATTTTTATTTTTAAATTATTTTAGACTATTTTATTTTTTATTCAAGTTCACAAATAATAAATTTGTAAAATTTGTGACTTTTTTATTTGTGACCAGCAGCTAGAATTTCCAAAATATCGCGATAAATCGACCAGATCTTCAAACCCTGTAACTCCCGTTCTGATATCATCTCTTCATCGACAAGTTTGCTATATCAACCGCACCCAGTATATGTAAGCTCTTCTTTATTTGATTTCGTCTCAATTTTCTCTGTTAATTGTAAGCTCTAGCAGCTAGTCTCAAAAGTCGGAATTTTGGATCTTAACATTCCCCGTAAAGCGATAATACTTTAAAATCGAAAATATATTTCTGATAAAATTGAGCGAATTTTGATGTTATTTCATTTTGAACAATGGGGCTAAGCAACAGATATATGAACACATACTGCGTATGATTTTCTGTTTGCAAACCCTTTGTTTCCCTTCTATTTTTACATGCCAAGAAACCCTTTTTGAGTTCTTGAAGTAGACTAATGCCAACGTAGTACTTGATCCCTCCCATGAAGGCTGCCTCGGCTGACCTCGTTCGCATTTCTCTCAGTTTCACAACTTCAAATAGAATGACACACAGTTCTCTCCGCTCTGAAGGTGTGTATAGTAGATTATTAGACAAGTTTCCGGATGCCAAGACACTAGAAAAAATTCATTCCAGGATCATCTCAGATCAGGGCCTATGCCCCAACTCGTCCATCTGCATCAAATTAATGCGGGCTTATGCATCTTGTGGCTCGACTGGTGCTGCACGGCAGCTGTTTGACAAAATTCTCATTAAAAATGTCGTGGCGTACAATGTGATGATCAGAAGCTATGCCAACAACCGGTTTTATCGAGATGCTATTGTGTTGTTCAAAAAGATGCACGTGGATGGTATTCAGCCTGATCGATATACCCTTCCTTGCATTCTAAAAGCTTGTTCAGTTTCTGATAATGTGTGGTTAGGGGTGCAGATTCATGGCCCGGTTATAAAGAATGGTCTTGATTCATATTTATATACAGGGAACGGTTTGGTGGCTATGTATGGGAAATGTGGGTTTTTGGCTGAGGCTCGGCGGGTTCTTGATGAAATGCCTCGAAGGGATGTTGTTTCTTGGAACTCAATGGTAGTGGGATATGCTCAAAATGGAAAGTTTGATTATGCATTAGAAGTTTGCAAGGAAATGAACATGTTGGGTCTGAAGCCTGATGCTGGGACAATGGCTAGCATTTTGCCTGCTGTAACCAACACGTGTATCGAAAATGTTGCATTTGTGAGGAGCATGTTTTTGGATATGGACAAAAAAGACTTGGTTCCTTGGAATGTGATGATGTCTGTATATGTCAAGAATTCTATGCCTAAAGCGGCTATCGAAATATATTTACAATTGGAAGCTTCTTCAATAGAGCCTGATGCATTAACTTTTGCTACTGTTCTTCCTGCTTGTGGTGACCTTTCTGCTGTACTGTTAGGACGTAGGATTCATGAAAAGATTGAGAAGAGTGGACTTCAGCCTAACTTATTACTTGAAAATGCTTTAATTGATATGTATGCAAGGTGTGGGTGTTTGTGCGAAGCTAGGGAACTTTTTGACGGCATGGTGTTTCGAGATGTAGTGTCATGGACTTCCTTGATCTATGCTTACGGTATGAGTGGCCATGGTCAAAAGGCAGTTTCTTTATTTTCAAGGATGCTCGAATCTGGCCTCAAACCTGACTCCATTGCTTTCGTTTCTATACTGTCAGCATGCAGTCATGCTGGACTGCTACAGGCGGGGGAATATTATTACAATCTAATGACAGAAGAGTATAAGATTGTTCCAAGGCTAGAACATTATGCTTGTATGGTGGATTTGAGGGCAAGGGCTGGGCAGATAGATAAGGCGTATTCTTTTATCAAACAGATGCCAATGGATGCTGGTGAGAGGATATGGGGTTCTCTGTTGAGTGCTTGTCGTACATATAATGACATGGATATAGGGATTATAGCTGCAGATAATCTTTTCAAGTTGGCACCTAGGCAGTCTGGATATTATGTCTTGTTATCAAATATCTATGCAATTGCTAGAAGATGGCAAGATGTGACTAAAATTCGGACGTTGATGAACGAAAAAGGTATCAAGAAAATTCCCGGTGTTAGCAATGTGGAGCTCAATAACCAAGTACACACATTTCTTGCCGGGGACAGGTGTCATCCTCAATCAGGGAAGATTTATGAAGAGCTAGACATATTAATAGGGAAGATAAAGGACATTGGCTATGTCCCAGTTACAGATGGCACACTGCATGATGTTGAGGAGGAAGACAAAGAATATCATTTAGTTGTCCATAGTGAGAAACTGGCAATTGCCTTTGCAATGTTGAACACTGATGCTGGAACACCAATCCGAATCACAAAGAACATACGCGTCTGTGGGGATTGCCATGTGGCTGTCAAGCTCATATCTAAGGTCACCAAACGTCTCATTGTTGTCAGAGATACTAGACGCTATCACCATTTTCAAAACGGGGTCTGCTCATGTGGTGATTATTGGTGAACCTACCAGTAGTCAGGGACACATGAGGATGAGTGCTATGTTTTGGGAAAGAAATGCAGTGACACAAAGTGTGGGAGGCCTTGCTATATGCCTAAATAGGTCGACTTTGAATTCCAAAGTTATTTTGCACTCACAACATAAGACAACTAGCTGCTTTTATCTTGTGTTGTGGCAGAAATGACTTCCAAGCCACATGCTTGGGTAACACAAATAAACTGTTCAGAAAGTGGAACAAATTTCAGTATTGTCTTTCCATAATTTCATGTTATACATGTCCCCCTCTCAGTTAACCTTCAAAAGGCTTTGGATTTTCTTTTTGTTCCATGCTGCCTTTTTAGCCTTCATCCTATCTCAAACTATCCTAAATGTTGTCTAATTTGCCCCCACATATTAGCTCTTCCTTTCACATGAGCAATACCAGCTTATGGTTTCTTTGAATATTCTGTGTTTGCCTTCATTAAGAGGCCGGCATTTCCTCTTCTTATTTCATTGGCAGCCCAAGTTAAATCTCTAAATACTCTAAAGTTTTCATGAAGTGGCAAACAATATATGCACTTTTTTTGGTGGAATAGGCAGTAAGAACTTATTCATTTAAAAGTTATAAGTATAGGATGCCTACACCTTGAGAGAGAGAGTGACAGAGAGAGTGCCAGCCCATTTGGTTAAAGCAATATGGATGAAATAGAGTGATGATGATGATAATAATAATAATAATATTATTATTATTATTATTATTAATAATAAGGGTGTTGGTAAATCCACCCCAAAATGGCTATATCCACACCTTTTACTTATATTTGCTAAATCCACTCCCATTAATATAAATTTGATATTGGTGTGGATTTAGCAAATTTATGTGAAAGGGGGTGGATATATACCATTTTTGGGGTGGATTTAAGAACACCCTTATAGTAGTAGTAGTAGTAATAATAATAATTTGTTATTGTTGTTGTTGTTGTTATTCTAGAAGATATGTTTTGTTTGGTTTCCTTTACTATAATAATCATTTTTCAGGGGAGAGTGGGGTGGTGGTGTTGGTGTTATTTTGTAATCAGTTGGACTTCTAGCAGTGATACAGTTCTTACTTCATTTAGTGGACCATCTGCATCATTTTTTACATCTGTCCTTTTTTGAATATTTCTGCATTTTATTTGCAGGAATATACTCCACTGATTGACACTACAACTTCATGATTTCTCATTGGAAACTTCAATTTTTTGCTTTATTTGGAATGAACCGCGAGGCTCTTATGTAATCAGTAAGTGATTGCCTTTATATATCTTACCAGTACACATTTGGAGTTGTCATGTTTCAACACAATGAATAAATGACTTATTAATGTCTTCTATTGTGTTCCGTGTTTTGAAATTCTTTTCCATGTTTCTTATCTGCTAATAAACTAGCACACAACTTTTTGTCCCATTCTAATGGAAAAATGGAATGCTTACACGTGGAACTGGATTAAAAAAAAATTGTGACAGACCTTTTTTTTGTACTAGCAGTGGTACGAGAAAAAGATGCCTGTTGGGAATATGCTGAGAAGGTAGATGGAAACAAGGTTAGATGTAAGTTCTGCCTTAGAGTTCTGAATGGTGGAATTAGTAGATTAAAGCACCATTTGTCAAGACTCCCTAGTAAAGGTGTAAATCCATGCACCAAAGTGAGGGATGATGTTAGTGATAAGGTGAGGTTAATAATTGCGTCAAGGGAAGACGCAAAGGGAATCTCTGAACCTTATAAGCACAAGCACACCGACCTTATTACACTTTGCACAAATACTTGTGCAAGCAAAGCTGCCGGTGCTTGTGTGGGCCACCCAGCTGCAGTTCCTATCCAAAAAGTTTCCCCCCTTGTCACACAACCTAACAATGAAGAAAATGCTGAGAGAAGCATTGCTCTGTTTTTCTTTGAAAATAAATTGGACTTTAGTGTGGCCAGATCTTCATCTTACCAGCAAATGGTTGAGTCGGTAGGAAAATGTGGCGGTAGTGGGTTTATAGGGCCTTCTGCTGAAACACTAAGAACAACTTGGTTGGATAGGATCAAATCCGAAGTAAGTTCACAATCTAAAGGTGCAGAGAAAGAGTGGGGCATGACTGGTTGCACGATAATAGCAGAAACCTGGACGGACACCAACAAATTGTCATCACGATCTTTGATTAACTTCTCAGTTTCTTCATCCTCTGGAACCTTCTTTCACAAATCAGTCGACGCGTCCTCATACTTCAAGAACATAAAATGCCTTTCTGAATTGTTTGATTCCGTCATTCAAGATTTTGGCCCTGAAAACGTGGTGCAGGTTATTCTGGATAACACTCTTTACTGCACCGGTATAGTGAACAACTTACTGCAGAGCTATGGGACTCTCTTTGTTTCCCCTTGTGCTGTCCAATGTTTAAACACTATACTGGACGAGTTTTCGAAGGTGGATTGGGTTAACCGGTGCATCTTGCAAGCACAGATGATCACAAAATTTATATACAACAATTCATCCGTTCTTGATCTGATGAAGAACTTCACCGGGCAGGATATAGTTAAAACCGGAATCACAAAACCGGTTTCCGATTTTCTCTCTTTACAATCCGTACTGAAGCAGAGATCAAGGTTGAAGCACATGTTCAACAGCCCAGAGTTTGCCACTAATTCGATTTGTCTAAACAAACCCCAGAGCTTAACTTGCCTCGACATTCTTGAAGACAATGATTTCTGGAGGGGGGTCGAAGAGTGTGTGGCACTATCTGAGCCGTTCTTGAAAGTGATGAGGGAAGTTTGTGGAGGGAAGGCAACAGTGGGGTTTATATATGAACTGATGACCAGAGCAAAGGAGTCTATAAGAACATACTATATTATGGATGAAATAAAGTGCAAGACCTTTTTAGACATAGTTGATAAGAAGTGGCAGAATAACTTGCACTCCCCCTTACACTCTGCTGCGGCGTTCTTGAACCCGAACATTCAGTACAATACAGAAGTGAAATTTCTGGGATCTATAAAAGAAGAATTTTTTAGGGTTCTTGAAAAGCTACTTCCAACACCAGAGCTCAGAAGAGATATCACCAACCAAATCTGTTTGTTCACAAGGGCTTTGGGGATGTTTGGGTGCAATCTTGCAAAGGAAGCTATAGATTCTGTCCCTCCTGGTATGTACTGCGTATGTAGTGAAGTTGCACTTGGAATTCATTTTAGCACTCAACAGCCATTAAGGCCTTGCCCACCCCTAATCCTAGGAAATCAGATAGCTGATCATTCTTTAACCAAATTATTTTGTGAATAATAGAAATTTGGTAGGAAATACAACAACAAACCCACTAAAATCCCACATAGTGGGGTCTAGGAAAGATGAGTGCACACAGACCTTACCCCTATGTGGAAAGTAGAGAGCCCTAGCTCAAAACAAAAGACACATGGGCTTTTAATTTTGGTCTAGTTAATTCTATTTATTTATATCTCGTATATAAGGGGTGGCTGAGAAACATGTGTGAGAAAAAGTTAAAGTTATTCATTTAATGAGGGAAAACCAGACACATGAAAAGATATTTCTTTGGCATTGTATTTCTTTTCCTTACGTTCATTGCGGATGGAGCTAAAAGAGTCATTTTTTTACTATGTTTTAGATTCAGGTAAACAATGGACTAAATCAAAATGACACATTACCCTTCCCTTGCTATTGCATCCGACACCCAAAAGAAATATCCTACTCCCTCCGTTCACCAAAACCAGTCCTATCTTGACTCTGGGCCAAAATAAGGAAAGGGTTATTTGGGGTTGACTTCCCAATTTTTCCCTTAATGTGATGGATAGATTATTAGTAAAGAAAAGTATGATATGATATGTAGGGTAAGAATTAGTAAGGATAAAAGTAGTTTTTTAATAAAAATGGAAGTGTTTTGGTGAAAGAAAAAAAATGAAAGAGGAGACTCCAACCTAGTTCGGATTATATTGGATTTTTTGTTGTTTTTGCAAATTTTTTTTTTCCTTGGCCTTTTCCAGGGTTCAAACATACCCATGATGCTGTTTGAATTAAGATGCATTTTGCACTGAACGTTTAACAAATTCATGAGAGTAATTTGATCGTTGGTGTATCAAATAATGGATAGAGAGTTTCATTTCTTACACTCTGTTATAACTGTGTGACATAACAAAAACTATAGGGATTTGGTGGGAACAATATGGTGATGCCGCTCCAGCATTGCAGAGAGTTGCCATCAGAATTCTAAGTCAAGCATGCAGCGGCAGTTTCATGTCCGAGAGAGATTGGGCCGCGTTTCAACAAATCCACTTGGATAAGCGCAACAAGATCGAAAAAGACACGTTGAATGATATGGTTTATGTAAACTGCAATCTCAGGCTAGCGGCAAGGTTGCCTTTGAGCTCAAAAGCCACAGCAGACACCGATCTCCTTCAACTTGATGACATAGATATGACCTCTGAGTGGGTTGTGGAGGAGGCTGAAACCCAGAGCCTCCCAACACAGTGGCTTGACCGCTTTGGTTCTGGTCTAGATGGCAACGACTTGAATAGCAGACACTTCGGCGTTGGTTTATTTGGTGCTAATGACCCAATTTTTGGATTGTGACGGACGGTGTATTCTTTAGGGCGTGTCCTATTCCAAGGACCTTGCCTTATTTTGTACTACTCTAAGATGGTTGCAAACCTATGTTAATGTTCTGCATACCCTCCAAATATGAGGTGTTATTTCACCCTTATTACGAGTATAAAGAGATGGCTATCCCTTCTGTTGTATTAGCCTATAACCTATGTATGTATGATGGGATTGTGGATTTCATCCAGTTTAATAGAGTATTATTCAACTATAAATACTAGTGAAGCTCATTCTAGTCAAACCTAAGACATAAATCATGTAATTTATATTCAAAACATAGTAAAGTCCCGTTCTCTTCAATTTATTTCTGCTTCTTATTTTTTATTTTTATCAGAATCGGATCAGATCCATTCACCTCAAAGGCGTCTTCTTGTTTTAGGTATCAATTAAAGGTGGACTTTTTTGCTATTGAACAAAATCTAACCTTGTAAAAAATTGTTTATCTATTGTGAAGAACATCCTTACGAAGCGTTGGGTTTGGCAATGTTGATGAATTACCCATGTAAGGAGATAACATAACGTTAAATGTATATACTATAAACCAATTTCATTCACATGAAACGTAGAAAAAATGTGATTCAGTTCCCTGTGCCCACCCAACTTATACTGTAGCGCTCAAGAGCTATTGTTAAGGAGGTAAGCCAAAGCCTTTTCTGTATCATTGTCAAACATGAGTAGGGCTTCTCCAACCGCATTTGACGAGAACCCCATATCTCTCAAGCGAGTATAATGATCTGCAAATTCTCGGACCTGAAAAACAGTTACTTTAGTACCCTTTTGTCAGTAGCACCAATTTAGTACGGGAGTTTGGGTATGCAGGCAAGATAGACATACCTTTGTTGGGTTGTCTCCGAAGTTTGCAACAGCAAGAGGAACGGCATCTCTATTCAGACCTGAAGCAATGTATTTGTCTGCAATGGGATCTCCAGAAGAACCCTACAATTCAGTGCGAAACAACATTCACTTTTGCTATGATATGATATAGAAACTTATCAGAGACAAGCCAACCATATAGCTACTGTTTTTCAAGGCATAACAAAGCTTGATATCATGCTGCCTTGTAATCTAACAGAGGAAGGAATAAGGATTAAATTGCTCCACCAAGAAAATGCACTCAAGCGCCATTTTGGGATGTAAAAAATCAGAAATGCAGATAATGTGGATTTTATCATGCGTAAGTACTCAAACTTAAGTTAAGAATAAGAATATTACTTCTACAAAAGAACGAGACCAATTATCTTAGGGATTCATACCATGTTTAATGATGTGATTCATACGAGTGAACGAGTGAGACAGTTTTAAAAATGTTTAAAACCTTAAACACACTCCCTCTAATTCATAATAATTCACTCTCAACAGACAATTTTGTTAAGAATTAAATACTGTCTTGGGTCTCTTCCAACTCTGTCCCTCTCTTAATTTGCAATAGAGCTCATTATTGTTATTGAAAGGGAAATGAGGTCATTTTACACATAAACATTATGAGTATATACTTTGTTAATATACACAAAACACCCCTAAACAAGATCTAGAGAGAGTAAAGTTTAAATAAATAGACCAAGAGTGATTGGAGACGAAACACACACATCAATGAGAAGCTTAAGAACATAATATATATATATATGTATATATATATATATACATATATATATATACATACATATATATATATATATATATGTATGCCAGTTCCCGTGAGAATGCACCTTTTGAAGAGAAATGAGAATAAAATTTAGCCATTGGATCTGATGCATCGTGCGGTCAGATTGCATCCTGCTCTCAGATTTTGAGATAGTACATTTTCAAAAGATTCTGGTGCATTTCGACATGATGCATTTTCAAACCATTTTGGTGCACCTAATTTTGATGCAATCATGACCCTTAGATCTCACCATCTAAAGCACCAGATTCATTCTCATTTCTCTCCTAAGATCGCATTCTCACCAGAACCTATACATACATACATACATACATACATACATACATACATACATACATACATACATACATACATACATACATACATACATACATACATACATACATACATACATACATACATACATACATACATACATACATACAT